CAGGAAGATCAACTAATTAGTTTCGACGTGGAAAGCCTTTACACCAACGTTCCGGTCGAAGAAGCACTCCAAATCATACAGAGAAAGCTATCCGAAGACGGGAACCTGAAAGAGAGAACGAATCTACCTATAGAAGTAATTATGGAATTACTAGGATGCTGTGTACGAAACTGTTATTTCCAACTGAAGGACGAATTCTTTACACAAGATGAGGGACTGCCAATGGGATCGCCACTTTCACCAGTCATAGCCAACATATATATGGAGTGGTTTGAAACTCTGGCCATTGAAGAAGCCCACAAGAAACCTCGAGTCTGGTTGAGATATTGCTGATATACAATAAAAAAAAGGTTGGAGACAATTTGGATCCCTGGGGAACACCAGCGTTGATAGTAAACGTATTCGAGAGATATCCATCGACGTTTGGTCACCAAACCCTCATGCCAAATAAGGTCAAAGACCTTAGAAATATCAAGCGCAACAGCTCTCGACTCTCCTTGTTTCTCGATTGCGTTATTCCAAATATGGGTGACATACGATAGAAGTTCACTTGTTGATGTTTGTTTCTGAGAGCCATATTGATGATCGCTCAAGATGTTGAAGCCTTTCAAATATTTGAGGGCAGTTCATCGATACCATACGCCTTGTTGATAGTGAGCTGTTTCGATATTCGCCTAACTAGACGCTAAAAAGAAATTTCCGGCGAGTTTGGGAATATTGGGTGGTGTCTTTTCCAGAATATCGACTGTGGAGATTTGATTTTTCTATGGCTGTTGTTGAAATTGAACCATCTACTTGTGGTATTGGTGGAATTGTGGATTCTGTAAAGTTTTGATCAACAACTCCAGCTACCGACCAGAAGGATCTAGACCTATTGGTCTCCTACAATTATGATTTAATTTCCTAGATCTCCTTGCAAATTCAACAGCTACCGACCAGAAGGATCTAGACCTGTTGGTCTCCTACAATTATGATTTAATTTCCTAGATCTCCTTGCAAATTCAACAAGTTGACTTCTTTTACGATCATCTGATCTTTTGTAGGAATTTTCGATCACAGAACTCAATAAATTGATTTTGTTCTGCCATATGGTTAATGCTGCTTGAGCTTGTTTTAATAGCGATACGCATTGCAAACAAACCATTGTAAATAATATGATTCTGATGAAGATACAATATGATATTCAATGTACTACAGGGCGTGCTGAATTATATTCCCAAAAATCACTTTCATTTCTGTCGAAGCAAATGGTATATTGCAAGGGATTAGAAGGGCTGTCAGTAATGCAGTCGTGGTAAAAAATATATCTGTTTTACTTCTAACGAACATCAAAGATGATATCATAATTTTTCATATGCTGAATTTTACTATAACATGTGAAGTTCCTTCATATGAAAGCTCAGACAAAAATATAATGGGTCTGGTTATCCTGAATTACCCTGAAATTACGCTGTTTTCATAATATCCAAGTAACAACAGGCTGGGTGGATATCCA